GGGACTTGATCTCGGGCCTCGCTCCGGCGGCCATCGCTCCGCCGAACACGCGCTTCTTCGCACTCTTCGCCTTCTCAAGCGATCCTCTGCAACCAAGAGCCAAGAAGTCGTGTGAGTTGTGTCCAGTGATTTGAAGAAGAAGAAGAAGAAGAAGAGCGCGGATTGAAGGGTGGAGGGTAGATTCGTACCTTCTGTAGAAGAAGTCGTGGGTGTCCTGGACGTAGAAGAGGCGGTAGGTGGTGAGACAGATCTTGCACTCGAGACCATTCGACACCACCACGTTTTCCATAGGATTGCCGCCCTTCTTGGTCCACTTCCTCTGGTTCCTGTGGTGTGTGAGCGCGCGCACCAACAAGCGAGGTGTTGTGTGAGAAAAGCGCCCACGCGACACAACACAACACAAGCACCAGAGATGGAGAGGAGAGCAAGCGTCACCTGAGCAGGAACACCTTGTGCTTGCGCACATCCAGGTGGGACTTGTCGGACTGGACGTAGTTCTCGACGTACTCGGCCCACTTGTCCTTGTCAAAGGACAGGTCCACGAACCGGGGCTTGTCGGTGCTGTCCAGCAGCTGGATCGTCAGCTCGCAGCTTTCCTGCGAGAACTCGAACCGGAAGCAGCGATCGTCCTCGGGCAGGAGCTCCAGCACGTTGGAGTGGTAGATCACTTCGAGCGAGCCTCGAGGCCGCGACCCCTCGTAGGCGTAGAGGGCCAGAAGCTTCGCACACGAATCGTCCGTGATGAGGATTTGGAGCTGTTTGCAATCAACGAGAGACGGTGGTGGTCAATAAAGGCGTTGTTGCCGCAGCATGGACACCGGTGTTGATGGTGGTGGCCGTGATGATGGCGGCGAAGAACGCGTACCTGCTTGGCGAGCTGCACAATGAGCTTGTCGATCGTGAACAGGATGTACGAGGAGATGCCGAACATGTCTCGGCAGTCATCCTCGAACTTGGACTGCTCGAGCGAGCCCTCCATAAGCGCGTAGATGGAGGTGATCAAGTGCTGTGCGCGTGTTAAGACACGTGGGTCAGCTGGTGGAACTCCTTGGCCAACATCAAAGGGCGGGATCAGGGAGAGGGAGAGTGGCGCACCTGGTAGGGATCCTTCTTCTCGCTATCGGAGGCGGTGCTGAGCATCTCCTTGGGCGGAGTGAGGACAGAGGCCGCCCACTTCTTCTTGTCCGAATTCTTCTCCATCTCCTTGGCCGCGGTGAGCCTGTCGTAGATGATCTGGTAGAGGCGGAAGAAGCAGTAGAAGGCCTTGTTGCCAAAGAATATCTTCGTAGACTTAGGCGCGGGCCGAGGACGGGCCAACTGGGCGTCATTCACACACGACGACAACACAGGTTAGGCCGCCGCATGCACGCAAAGCGTTGAATCGAGGTGAGCACAAATCGGTACCGGCGATCTGCCACGAGCCGTTTGCGGCTCCATCGGCTCGGGCCTTACGACCGCGGGGGCGACAGCGGAGGCATCACGCATCACCTCTTCCTTGACCTGGTAAAGCAAGCGTTGCATTACGCACGCGAGTCAATGAGTGCACTTCTCCGTGAAGGAAGCCTTCCGGTAAAGGAGTAGAGTGATCTACGTACCGCAGGCTCTTTCGCGGCAGCGGCGGCGGACGTCTCCGTGGCCTCGTCCTTCTTCTCTTCAGCCTCCTGTTCCGGCTCCTGTTGCTTGGGCAGCTCCTCGTCCATTTTCTTTTCCTCGGGCTGCTGCTCGGCAGTCTTTTCAGCCCCTTCGCTGGCCTGTTGGAAGAGGCAGAAGAGGCAACAGTTGAGCCGAGACCCCTTGCATAAAGCCGTGGAGAAGAGGTGGCGAGATGAATGGGTGCGTACCTTCTCAAGCTCCATGGCGTCGCCAGCAGGCTGTGCAGGCGCCGCGGGCGGCGCGCCTCCCTCCACTTCCATCGTGTCACCCTCCTTGGGCTGCGTAAGTGGCAGAAGAAGTCAGTATTTGTATGACAGCTCGCAAAAGCAGGGAGGAGGTATGTACTTCGGGCTTGACTTCGGGCGGGACGACCTCGCCTTCCTTCTTCTCTTCCTCCATGGCGCTGGCCGTGGGCTGGACGAGGGCCTCCTCCTTGGACGGTACCAAGAAGAAGGCCTTGATGAAGCGCTCCATGAAAGCGTCCAACTGCAGACGGACCGATGATAGCTATGTTAGAACGATCGTTCTGCCCACCAGACGTGTACAGCAGGAGTCGACTATGCGTACCCTCTCCCTATCGGCCTTCGACAGGATGCGCTCAGCGGCGTTGGTGATGAGGTCGTTGATGTCGTTGAGCACCTGCGGGTCATTCATGCCGTACTTGAGGTGGTAGTTCGGTTGCTCCGAGGGCTTGTGCTTGAGCTTCTCCTGATACTTCTGCTTGATCTCCGCCAGGAGGACTGCACCAGGGAACGGAACCCAGGTCAACGTGAAGAAGACGGAAGAAGAACGCACGATGATGTTGGGCGTACCCTTGGAGGAGAGGTTCTTCTTCTCGGCCTGTTTGAAGTTGAACGAGCGGTGGTCGAGTGATTTGTGGTAGTTTTTTTCGTTCACCTGAGAAATTAGACATTAACCCAACACAAATAAGAGCGGGGCACCACACCACCAGCGACGCGCCTCGTAACATAACACAAATAAAGAGAACTATTACTAATGCGCCCGAAAAAAGCCAGCGGTACCTCTCTCCAGATCTTGTTCCACTCCCTGCGGGCGTTGCGCCATTCGTTGTCCTTCTGCTTCAAGCGCTTGAGGATTACAGGCACCGCAACCACTGAGAGTACAGGAAAGGCGCATGTGAGCCTATCGACGTGAAGAGTACACCAAGAAAAGCTTGAGATCAGAGAGAGTGGAACCTGGATTGTTGAAGAGCTTATCCACAACGTCCGGACCCTTGTTTCCGTAGATGCGCTCAATGCTGCGAATGTGCAGGACTGAATACAGGCGCACGCGCTATTAGTGGTGTCTAACGCTCATACAACACTACCCAAGGTGGGCCGGGTACCATCCAGGTTGTCGATCTTGAAACGTGAGGCCTCGTCCTCGGGCATATCCATGATCTGCTTGAGGATGGGCTCCAACGCACGCATGGTGGACGAGTTGAGCTCGATCACCAGGTCCAACTCATACCTGTCGTCCTCGCACTTGAACAAGACCTCCTCGTACTGGTTCTTACGCGATCCCTTGAAGCCGCCCTCCTCGCTACCCATGGCCATGCTCACGTATTTGGTGTTGAGCACTTCCCGAGAGAGCTCGTCGCCGGTGACAGTGGCCTTTTGGTACTGCCGTACAGAAAACGCGCAGGATCGAGGGTAAGGACCCGACTGGCGGCGCAGAAGCGAACGAGCGGGTGAACGTACGTTCTTGGGCAGCGCTCTGTAGCTGGGTCCATAGCGCTTGCAGGCCGAGAAGTCAATGTCAGCGAGCGACCAGTGCTGCGAGGGCATCTCCTCCTCGGAATCAACAGCGGGCAGTTCTGGGGAAAGAAGCCAGAATGAAATCAGTAACCAATTCCGTTACTCGCCAGAAGAGAACACGCCGCGGCTCCCGTACCAAGCTCGTCGTCGCTGGTGAAGCCGATGAACTTCTTGAAGCGCTCAAACAGTTCGGGTTCCCCGGCAAACACATCCCGCACCACCACCGCCTATTTTTATAGTGAGAAGCGAAAGCGGTTAGTTCTCGACGTTTGACAGTTATGTGGCATGAACGCTAGCCTGAGTTTGTACCAGTTCCACTCGAGTGATGATCTTGTTGGAGAAGAGGTTGAGGCACTTGAGGAATTCGTTGTAGAGCTTATCGTTGTTCAGCTTCTTTCTGACCTTGTAGAAGAAGTTCAGCTCCTTCAGGTTGTCCTGGTGTTGCTTCTTGGACATGCGCTCCTCCGCCTTCTCGTGCGCCTTGCGCTTCATTCCTCTCGACTTCTCCGGCTTCTATGTGCAAGAGAGGTGTCAAGGCACCGCCGTGAAATGATCTCAGTGGTGGCTGCGATCATTGTTAAGCGTACCGCCTTTTCCTTCGCCGCCTTCTTCCCGGTATCTCGAACGGCGGTCTTCATGGGCTGTCCTCTGATCTTCGGTGCCGTACGCCTGTAATCCAAAACACGCGCATGAATTAACGTGCTCGCTATGCAATGATAACAAAATCGTGTGGGAGTGGGCTACTTGGGAGGATGGTGTATGGGGGCCGCCTGAGGGTATGCGACGCCGCCCAGCTGCGGGTTGGGAGTGGTGTTCTCTGGAAGAAACTCAGAGAACTCCTCCAGGAGATCCGGGTGGTCCTAGTAGGAAAAAGATAGAGGGTGAGCTATTCTTCCTTCTCTGGTGGGCAGCGCGAGAGTTTGACGTGGCGAGGGCTGTACCTGGAACAGGTACGCGACTTGCTCATACACGTCCTTGATTGTGTGCTGCTCCCTGTGGAAGGTGTGCAGGATCTCGAGGAAGTTCTTGTAGATCTGCGGCTGGTGCAGGAAGCGCATCTGTGTGTAATGCGAAAACGGGCCACGTATAAGACGGGCCAGTTTTGGACAACGCAAGCGACTCGGCTCTGCTTACCTTGATCTTCTTCACGTACGCCCTGGCGTGATCAAACTCGGGCTGCTTTCTTGCTACGTCCGACTCGGAAGGCGGCGGCATAGCAGCAACCGGCACTGATTTCACCAAGTGTGAGGGTCACTCGCAGCAAAAAATAGCTCTCCAGTTTGGTGTCTTACCGATCTTGTAGCCAGGAGGAAGGAAAGTGTTGAAGCCCAAGATGAGATCGTCGTGACCCTTGAACAAATCCGAAACACGAGCAATGACTCCAGGCGTGTCGATTCTGTAAACGGGAGGGGAGACAAAATAGGCGGTAAGAGAGAGTGCTTCGCAAGCTGAGAGTGTGTCGCAAGCTCGGAGTAGAAACGCACGTTTGAGCCTTGAACTCCTTCATCACGTCGAGGAAGTAGTTGTAGATCTGTGGCTGGTGTTGGAACTGCAACTTGACCTGGTCGAGGAAGTCCAGCGCGCTCTCGAACTTGACCCCGCGCGTCGGCGTCGACGACATGACGTGCTGCACAGGAACGTTAGTACGATGTTTTTTTTATTTTTAGAAAATTAAATATTAAACATATAATAAATGATAAATTGTTACACTCCAGAGCTGAGTTCGTTACCTCGTGTACGGTGTGTATGGGCATGTTCTGCGACGCGGGGTGGCCCGGGGGAGGCGCACGGAGGCCTGGGTGGATAGGGCCTGCCGACGGAAGAATAGGAGGCGGGTGTATCGGCTGAGGCGCGTGTGGCGGGGGAAGGTTGATCCTACAGGGCAAGTTGGCGTTAGCAGGTTACAGGGGCCATGAGGATAAGGATTTAAGATTAATAATAATTGATGAGAAAAGGTCCAAGCCAAAAAGTGACGTTTGGGCGAGGATTCCTCGAAGTACTCGAATTGGGCAGGAATTAAGAATGATAAAGCCTACCATGGCAAGATAGGAAAGCGTACAGGCTAGCGGCAGCGGGTAGCAGGGGCTGGCCAGGAGCGATAGACTGCGATCTTGTGACTTCGCTGAGCGGGGGCATCGTCGTCGTAGAAAGGCCTCCCATTGCGCCTGTAGACGAATGTGATGAAGCGCTACTAGAGGTCGATTGAAGGGGTCCAGAGCCGCTCGAAATGGGCGGTAGCGCAGAACCCATCGGCGTAGATCGTGCGGGGCCATTTAAATGCGAGGGAGCGTTGGACCCACCATGGGGTACGTTGCCCGAATGAGGCGGCCCGTTGGGCGATGGACGATCGTTGTTGGAGGGATTCATCTTCGATGATTCCTCTCGGCTTGGGCTTCGCGTCGATCGCTGCGATCAATCCAATTCTATCGAAGATCGAAAGACACGGAGGTAGCGGCCCAGAAGATATTTGGGGGTTGGCGAGATCTCGCGCTCTCTCTTTCTAGCCAAAGCTCCGCAACACCGCAACAGCCTCTATCTCTCGTGTAGACCGTCTTCTCTAGCACAACTAGTCGAGAGGTCTGGCCGGTGGAGGCTGCGAGGGTCGGAAAAAGAAGATCGAGTAGCACGAGAAGAGGTGACGGAGGGGGACAACCGAGGAACGCCAAAAACTTGTCGACATTCGCTGGTGGTGGAAATTCGGGAGGAAAGTTTATTATATCGGAGTTTTTTCAACTTGATCCTCCTCTTGTCGGCTTGTTCACGTGGGGAGGGGACTAGAACTCTGGCTCGCTGAGCTCCTTGCGTCGGGCCTCGTCGGCTTCGAGCTGCTTCCGCTGTCGCTCGTGCTCGAGTCGTCGCTCCTCTTCGATGTCGAACTTGTCGCCGCCCTCGACCTTCTTGAGGTACTTGTCGTGCAGGAAGGAGCAGCTGTCCAGCAGCCCGCCCCGGCAGTCATCGACCGACTTCATCTCGTAGGGGAACGGGAAGCGAAGCTCCACCCAATTGCTGCGCTCACGCGTAAAAAAACAACTCTCTGTGAGTTGTAGGCATCATCCACCAAACAAGGGGCGTGGGCACGCGCACCGGTTGGTCTGCCTCCAGGCCATCACATCAAAGCCCTTCCTGTCCACCGAGAACATGAAGATCTCGCCGACATCCTCAATCTGTCCAGTGTAGGTGTAGTTGTTGTTGTCCGTGGTGAGCAATCTCGCAGGCACAATGCGCGAAGACTCACGCGGGTACGACTTCACCTGGGCGTACTCCTGGCAAAAGAGCTTGAGGTAGATCGCTCGCTTGGACTCGTTCATCCATTCCAAGATGGCCCGACTGCTCTGCATTACCACATCGGGCTTGGTGGCCTTGTATTTGTCGGCGGTGACGTGCGTCGTCTCCTGCAAGCTGCACGGTCACGGTTAGCAGTAAGTCGACAACAGGAGAGCCGAAAGAAGAACGGTGTGGCAAAGACGGTATGCACTCACCCGCCACTGCAGTACACCGTATCTTCGATCTCCAGCTTGTAGAACGACAAGTCGTCGATGATCTTCTGGCACCCTGGGTGAGCAACGAGGTACTGACGGCGCACAGACGTGACTGCATCGTTGGAGTCGGCAGGATCAAGCTTTCTGCAATCCATTCGGGGAGCAGAGTAAGTAAGCGGTACCAACACTAAGGTAGCGGCGATGAGAGTACATGAAGAAGAAGAAGCCCCCTTTCGTACCTGAGCCTGCCGGCCAAGTTCACTCGTGGCAGAGCAAAGCTGGACGGATTGATGTTGGCTGGAGTGAGCGGGTAGACCTACGCGTGGAGACCAAACACCACTGAGCGTGAGTGCTCCCAACAAGGCGCACCTCTCATTCCTGGCACAACAACAACAACACATGCGAAAGAAGAGAGCACGTACGACCAGGGAGGCCATGTCGAGATGCTCGAGGTTCCTCACATGCTTTTCATCTGGGCGAAGGCCGACGATGGGTACGGCGTCGTCGACAAGGATGTAGGGCATGAGCGAACCGAACAGGGGCAGGGTGCCGCCGAGCGGTGGTTGCTCCGCCGCCATGTAGAGCTGCACTGTCGTGAGCGTGCCCGATTTGCGAGATTCAATGAGCGATCTGGTGAGCTCCGCCACGGTTAATCGTTGATGATCGTCTTGGCCCGATTGTGGACGATTCGAGTAGCGCCGAAGTAGAGGGGGGAGGGAAGAGATGGGACTCAAATGGAGTGTCCTCGTGGAGGGGGCCAGTGCGGGAGATGAAGAGAGAAATCGCCGAGTGGCAGCACAAGAAACAGGGAGAGCACGTCGTGTTGAATGCCCCTCGGCAAGCACGGTGCGCATAAGCCCCGAACGGCTCGCATGCTGTGCCCCCCTCCTCATCTTTCTTTTATTTGTTTATCAATTTAATTACCTTTCGCCAATTCCTTCCTCGAAGATCAGAAAGTCGCCGTTGAGCGTTCCCGCCAAAACTGCGTTGGGAAATCAAAGTTGTTCAGGACTGCGAAGTTGTGATCAAGAACACACAAGCCATCCGTGCACAGCCTCTTGAGGATTGGACCTTCAGGAGCCATCGGCACCGATCAACAACGATTTGGCAGAAGATGAGTCGTAGTAGAAGGGCAGCCGAGGGAAAGGAGAATCAGAGCGCACTCGCCAACACCAGCAGGCTCATGCCCGCGCGGCGATGCAGGGATCAGATGGGCGTGGCGGCCTGCGGCAAGGAGTGCATGGGGCAGTGCATCACACCGGTGCCCCTCCGCTTTCAGAGCTTGTCGAGCCGCAGGAAGCGGAAGACCGACGAAGATGACGATGAAGCGGAGGAAAAGCCCAAGCCCATAGACGAATTGAGGCACTCCAAGATCAAGGAACACGCCAAGCGTGAAGGTACAGCACACCTTTTTTTGCCTAGAGTTTGGCCATCTGGACTGAATTCTCATCTTTGCTCGCCATTGAATCGCCGCAGCACATCTGTTGAAGCGGATCAAGAGAATCTCGGCCACGCCAGCTGACTTTCCCGACCTGGTGCAGAGGCCCATCAACCCCTTGGCCGGTCTGCGCTCGCTGAGCCTTGCTGGCGTGGTCCACCTCATACAGAAGGGCAAATGTACGCTCTTGGCACTACGTAGATCTCTTTACGCCACGTACGTGCTTGTTACTCATCATGTTGTTCGCCCAGGCGCCAACATCATCGTCATGTGCGGGGCTGGCATCTCGGTCTCCGCGGGCATTCCCGACTTCAGGACCCCAGGGTACGACGCTTTGGCCGTGATTCACTCGCCGGAGCCGGCTCTCTTTCTGACCCTCACTTCACCTCATTCACACGAACAGGACGGGTCTCTACTACAATCTGCAGCGCTTCAACTTGCCCACGCCCGCCTCCATTTTCGACATTGAGTACGGTCGCGATCGTTGATGCATCTAAGTGTGTCTTCTTGATTGTTTCGAGCTCTGATGCATGTAACTTGTGTCTGTCAGCTACTTTGTGGAGAACCCTGAGCCGTTCTACACGCTGGCCAAGGAACTCTACCCCGGCAGCTACAAGGTTTGTTGTTTGATGACCTCCGCGTAATGCTCAGCTCGTTGATGACTGATCTCACCATCCAACGTTTTTCCCACCCCCAGCCCACTGTCGTGCACCACTTCATTCGGCTTCTCGCCGACAAGGGGCTCCTCCTCCGAAACTACACACAGGTGCGGCCCAACAAAGCCGGCTGCAATCGCTGCCTCTGTCTCGTGCCCCTCGTTTTACCATTTGTCTTTGTTGGTCAGAACATCGATGGCCTGGAGCGCATCGCCGGCGTGCCGGTGGAGAAGGTGGTGGAGGCCCATGGCTCCTTTTTCGGGGCGCATTGTATCAAGTGCGAGAAAGTGCACGACCCGGCCGAGATTCGAGGTTCGCACCACACTCCCACCCCACATGCGCTTGTTTCGTTACTCACCCAAGCGTGGCGACATGCGCATTCGTTGCAGATGTTCTCACCACCGACGGCTCCCCGATCTGTGATGAGTGCGACGGCTTCGTGAAGCCCGACGTCGTGTTCTTTGGCGAACCACTCCCTCCACGCTTCCACACTCTGGCAGAGCGGGTACGTCCGCGAAACACATGACACACCCGACACACGGCACCCATCGTCTTTGCTGAGTCTCATGGCATGCTCATATATAGGATTTTGAGAAGTGCGATCTGTTGGTCGTGCTGGGTACCAGCCTGCAAGTGCAGCCCTTCTCCAAACTCATCGACAAGGTGTGTCACTACCTCCCCCACCACACAGAGCGTTCAAGTTGAAGCGTCGCCAACTCACACGGAATTCTGTGTTTCTTTGTTCGGCAGGTGCCCTCGACGGTGCCGCGGCTCCTCATCAACAGACAGGAGGTGGGCAAGAAGCACGACGACACCGACGGCAAGAAGGGCGGGTTCCGATTCAGTACGCGCCATCGCCCCCTTCTCCCTCCATCAACTCTTCCTTAGCGCCCTAACCCTTCTTTTCCTGATCGCGTTGTAGGAGAATGCGATAACGCGAGAGACATTGAGTTCCTGGTACGCTCAGTTTGACCAGAATTTGCTCGATCTACACCAAATTGTTCTTGATGGATGATGATCATCATTTGTTTCTCTCTCTCTTGAATGGGCGTGTAGGGTGACTGCGACATGGGCATTGGAATTCTGGCGGAGCTCCTCGGGTGGAAGGAGGAGTTGGCCGCCCTCGCGAGCGTACCCCCGGTCGATCCTTTCCACAGCTGAATTCTGCTGCAGAACACACACTCAGCCTTCTCGCCTCATCGCTTTCTTCTCGATTCTCCCCGTGCGCTTGTATTATAAGATGATAATAGCGCGGCAGCCAGCACAACAACACAACACTGGGTTGAACGCCATTAGGCCCTTTTGTCGAGTTGATGATGAACTCCGATTTTGATCATCGCACCACGTGGCAGGAAATTGCAGTTTGGTTGCCTGGCGAACGTTTTGTAACGTTTTGAACTGAGACTGCACAACTAACTACAAGACAAAGCAAACGGACTGCCACTGCCATGGATGTACAGCCCTCCCCCCGCGGAAAACACCCACCCGACAATAATTTATTTAACAGTCCTACACACACGCAGCAACTCTTGGGCCAACTGCCGCAGGACTCCAGCGTCACCTACTCGGAGAAGGTCATCACCCTCACCCCCTCCGCCCCAGCCAACGGCGCGGCAGCCGGGGCCAAGGCGGCAAGCCCGACAGGCCCGCGCAAGTCGGCCAAGGGCGGTTTCGTGCCGGAGGGCGCCTACCCGCTTGACGGTGAGCGCACCGTGGAGAAGGCCAGGGAGCACTACGAACGCTGCACGCGCGAAAGCCTCGTCAAGATTCACCAAGCCAGTACGTTCCCAACACAAACGATAGAGAACGAATACGTATCACAAAAGATCAATATTTCTATTCACGGTCTGTCCAGAAATAACATTGTGGCGTCTGACTAGAGTTTCCGACTGAGAGCGTGTCGCGGCATGTGAAGCCGGACCTGATTGCCGACATACTTCAGAGGATCACATTGCCCACGTGGTCCAAGCCCGATCTCATTGCCGAGGCCACCAAGTACGACGTCAAGATCGGCGCACGGACCACGAAGGACCAGCTCGCCCTGGGCATCGTGACCCAGCTCAGGGCTCGAGGCCTCATCAATGCCAAGGCGAGAGGGGTCGCCGCTTCACCATCATCGACGGCGTCATCTTCATCATCGTCGTCATCCGCAGCCACTCCGGCCGCACCCGCAGTGCCCACGCCCGGCGCCGTGCTTGCACCGGCGCCAGCCCCGATAGCGAGCCAGCCGAGCGCCCAGGCCCAGACTACACTCACCAGGCCGACACCACCAACCGCTCAGTCGCTGTTCACCACTCCCCTCGAGCTCGCGCCCGCGCCGCCGACCAGCAGTTCGTCATCTCCGTCGTTGTCGTCGTCTCCTCTCGGTAGCGGCGGACGCAGCATGGTGAAGGAGGAGCGCAGCTCGAAGCGGAAGGAGAAGGACTCAAGCAAGGAGAAAGAGAAGGAGAAGCGTCCGCGCAAGAAGTCCAAGAACACCGACGCAACCGTACGACTCCCAACGCCCCGTCGCACAGCAACAAGCCAACCAGGATTCGTATGTAAACAGGCTACTCCAACGGACGACCAGCTGGGCGCCGGGCGTACGTCGCAGCCTTCGTTCGTAATCGACGTGGTGTCGCTTGTGGACCAGGTCAAGCGCTCCGGCTCGGCGCCGCCGGTCGCCACCGACCCGGCCAACCTGGAGCCCGAGCGCGCGATGCGCCTGCAGACGCTCGACTTGATCGAGCTGCTGCTCAACGTGGGCGCTACGGCGCCCAACGACATGGCATTCCTCGCGGGCCAGCTCAAGCCGCACATCCAGCGCGAGAAGGCCGCGCTGGCCAGCGGCACTCAGTGGGTAGACGCCCATAAGCGCACGCTGGAGAAGCGCCAGCTCAAGCGCAACCGGGACAAGGCCCAGCGCAAGCTGGAGCAGGCCCAGGCCGCCATGGCCGAGTGCAACCAGCAACTGGCCTCCCTACGCGACGCCTGAACCTCTCGGGCGTTTCTCCCGGCACCTGTATGTTTAAATACCGGACACATTGCGGACACGAAATGTCGACAAATACATGTCAAGTGCAGCCTTCATCCACGTCAGAAGCTGCCTCGCGTGCTCGTGTGGCGAAGCAAATTGTTTGGGTATTTTTCGTCTGTTCTGTGCTCTCGCCCAAACCTCCACGCCACCCGCACACGCCCGTGCGAGTAGATTCGACTGCACTCTCTTCTCCTAATTACTACATTCAGCAGCCCCAAACCAATCCCTTTTTTTGAGCCATGGACGGAAAAGACGGCAGGAAGAAGGACAAGAAGCATAAGAAGAAGGACAAGAAGGACAAGGAGATTGAGGAAGCCATGGATCAAGGAGGCGAGGAGCAGCAGCAGATCGAGGGCACCGAGACCGAGGTCTTGGAGCCTGAAGCCAAGAACATTCTGCTCCATCTGCTGTCGCAGGTGCGAATTGGCATGGATCTCTCGCGCGTCACGCTCCCCACCTTCATCTTGGAGCCCAAGTCGTTCCTGGAGAAGCTCACCGACTTCTTCACTCACCCTGACGTCATGCTCAGGTACCTGACCACTACGCTCCCTTTCCATCCACGTAACGATTTAATCCTTTATTTTAACCAACAACGCCCATCTATGCAGCTCGGTTGAGTGCCAGAGCCCCGTTGAGCGGCTGGTCGCCATCACTCGTTGGTATCTCTCTGGCTTCTACATTCGCCCCAAGGTATACGCACCTCTGCCGTCGGAAACGCACCATCCACTCTCTACATTTATTAACCAGCACTGGGTTTTGTAGGGAGTCAAGAAGCCCTACAACCCTATCCTGGGCGAGATCTTCCGTGCCCAGTGGGATCACGGGACCTCCAAGTCGTTCTACGTCTCGGAGCAGGTGCACTGGCGCCCTCATTTTTTGGCCATTTTCTTGTCGATGTGATCGATCTGTGGAATGGTGGATGTGTGTGCTGCAAGTCTCTCACCTTTCTCTCATTCATTCATAATCAGGTGTCGCACCACCCCCCAGTGAGCGCCTTCTACGCCTCCAACAGGGCCGTGGGGTTGGCCATCAATGGCTACATCAATTTCCGCTCCAAGTACGGCTGCACATCACTTCAATCAATCAATCAATTGATTGCGCTGCCCTATGCCCGCCTGCCTGTATTCACTTTCTTTCCACCCAGGTTCATGGGTAACTCCTCCGCCGCCATCATGGACGGCGAGGCCGTCTTGTACTTCCTCCGTATCCCCGGCGAGTCCTACACCATCACCTTCCCCACTGCCTACGCTCGAGGTGCCCTTCTTCTTCTTCTTTCTCGGTTTCCTCCCTTCTTGCCGTTACCCCTCTATCGCACGCGCCGTGCCACGCCGGCGTGCGACTAGACCCAGACGAACAGTGAGTGTGGAATCGTTGTTCTGATGCTTGATGATGATGGTGGTGGTGGCGGACAGGTATCCTGTGGGGCACACTGCTGATGGAGATGGGCGGCACCGTGTACATCACCTGCGAGAAGACCGGACTCCAGTCCGAGATCGAGTTCAAGACCAAGGTATGTGCTGCAACGTTGTCCACTTCAAACACTTTGCCAAACGAGTTTGCACCTCGCTCGATTGGTCCGCAATTAAGCTGACTCATTCGACATCTGTGAAATTGCCGCGATCAGCCCTACTTTGGTGGCGGCTACAACTACGTGGCGGGCAAGATCAAGGAGACCTCCGGCAAGAAGAAGACTCTGTACACAATCTCTGGCAAGTGGGATGAGGAAATTTTCATCAAGCCGGCCGACACCAAGGTACCCTGCACAGCCCCCCCCCCGTGTCGGTATATTGTTTGATGCGCAGCTGTCTCACACCTTTTTATTGTTTCGCCAATCAACAGAAGGACGAGCTTCTCTGGGATCCCAAGAACGCGCCACCCAAGGTCACCATGGACATCAGGCCGCTCGACAAGCAGGACGAGTGCGAGTCGCGAAGGTGTGTGCCCTTGCCCGCCTCAATTCTCACTCGCACACGGCTTCAGCCGCGGAGATGCATTGCTCATTCGACTGTTGTATGTGCTCTTATTCTCGTGTTCTCTCTCTCTCTCTCTCTCTAGGCTGTGGCAACACGTTTCCGCCGCGCTGAGGAAGAACGACCAGGAGACCGCCACCACCGAGAAGTGCAAAATCGAAGACGCGCAGAGGGAGGCCGTGCGCAGGAGGGAAGAAGAGAAGGTGCGCTCGCAGCCCTCTCTATTATTTATCTATTTATCTATTTTTCGTTTGGAACAAGGGAAGGTCATCCCTCGCCCTCCTGGCTGTGCCGTGGGATAAGCGATTAATCGACCTTCAAAATCGAACCAAACGGTTCCGGGAGAATGATCGGGACCAGCCTACGCCCACACGTCGTGCCCCTGTGGGCACGACAGTGGGTCGGGCGCACAACACACTTTATTTATTTATCTATTTATTTATCATTTCTATTCTCGATTCGGTCCGCGTTCTCTGACATCACTTTGCGCGCGACGTGTGCAGGAGACATACGAGGTCAAGTACTTCGAGAAGGACGAGAATGGTGGATGGGTATACAAATGGAAGAAGTACGTGAGCTTGCCTCCACCCGCCACCTCCCACTGGTCCTGATTGTGTTGGTGGTGGTGTGCTTACTCCCTCTTTTCTTGCGATGTGTGCGCACAGTCTCGAGCCATTCCCCCTGGACGAGTTGGACCAGTGGGAGGAGTACGAGGAGGACTGCGTCATCGGCGCCAGGAAGAAGTGAGCAACCTGCGCCGACGCCTCCCGCTTAGCCACCGCCCTCGCTTGCAACAGCCCCAGGACCAGCTTGTCACACATTTTCACTCCCGCCACCGCCTTCGTTTTCCTTTTTTCTTTCCCAGCGAGCTGTTTGCTATCTACAAGAAGATAACAAGGATCATCCTCTCCAACTCCTTGAATCACCACAAGAAGACAACAAGGATCATCCTCTCCTAGTCCTTGAATCACCTCCCCTTGATCATGTTCTTGTCTTGTGCTACCCCTATCTGGGGTGGAGTGGAACGAAAAGCGAAAGGAATAAATATAAATTCGTGTAAAGGGAAATTCGATGGACGGAACGCGGGAAAAGGTCGCCAGAGAGAAGGAATGCGAAGCCAGGGGCGGGCGCTGTGAAGTTTGTTGTGTGTATTTCTTGCTACCCACCTGAACTAGAAATCCAGCTTGCCTCCGCGCAACACATCGTCGGGCCTCCCTCCTCTTCCATCCTCGTTCTGCTGCTGAAACCCCCGTCCGTTCTCTCCTCTCCTCCAACACAAGCGAATACGATGTCGAGCAGCGGCCATTCGGATGACAACAGCAGTTCGGGCGATGAGGGCAGCCACCGCAGGGCTGGCGAGCATGGAGCGCAGGACCTCGATTCCATTCGGAAGCGTCTTCGTTCGATGTACCAGAACGAGGAGGCCAAGCGCAAGTCCCGCCGCGCCGTGCTTCTCGACCAGTCCCTGGCTCCTGCTCGCAGCATTCGCAAGCCCCCCATTCGTTCATCTTCGACATCCGGCCTGGTCGCTATGCCGCCATCGTCGGGGAGGAAGAAGCTGGGGCCAGGCTCGCAGGTGAACGGCGTCGCGAGTGGGTCTGCGAAGATGGTGGCCGCGGCTGCCCCCGCCTCCAGCCCTGTGCGACGTAGAGTCGGTGGAGGCGCTGCAGCGCCAGCCAAACCACCCGCTTCGGTGCGCGACAGGGTCAACCTCACCCTCAGGAAGATGAAGGCCAAGGGCGGCGCGCGCCGTTAAGATGGCCTCTGCTCCCATGGAACCCTCATGTAAATAATCATAATGCTCGCAAATCGGGCTGTGCCACAATTACATTTTTGCCTCGCTGCACGAGCAAAGCAGCGAAAGATGTACATATAGAATAATTAAATGAAGCAGCTTAGCGAATCCTCATCTTGTGATGGCCAATTCGAAGGAGAAAAGCGTCTGAAAATAAAAGAGAAATCATCACAAGCTGCACAATCAGATCTGACTTCAACCCTGGCGCAAGGGTGCTCTCTGTCCTCCTCATGGCCTCCCTCTCGCCAAGGCCGCGCATTGCGCACTGCGCTTTTCCACTATCCACCATCATGCTCTACTCGATTTTATCACTTCTACTGCACGCATCTCTCCTTCCCTCATCCCCCTCCTGCACGCTTGTCGAAGCTGCTCGCAGAACCGCCTCAATGCCCATGGGCGCCAACGCACGCCGCACTGCTTCAGAGGATGTGCTGAGCAGGGCCATCTTGACCAACCCCAGCCAAGACGTCCACCCTCTTCTCACTCCACAAGAGTTGGCCCTCTGGTCCTTCTTAGACGAGCCAAGCGTCGCCGGCCCCTCCTACGTCCTCTCTCCCTCTTCTTCCTCCTCCACACTCGATGAGATTTTGAAGCGGTTGCGTGCATTCGAAGATGTGATCTACATCAATGTGCGCCTTGTCGGATTCGACGGCGACGGCGAGCAAGGGCTCGACATCTCAGAGGCACGCTCCTCCCGTTTATTCCAATCCTCCACGTGCCCCTGTTGTGTGCACTCTTGTGCTTACACGGCTCTTCTACATGCCACGTGATGCACAGGCCGAGTTCCAGAAGTACTTCAACGCGCTCTTGTCCAAGACTCGCGACAGGGTGTCTGTCATTCATCCCGTACAACTCCTCCACTGCTCGTGTGTGTGGTGTGTGTGTCGTGTGTCGTGTGTGTCGTGTGTTAGAGGGGAATCCGTGTTAACGACGCCACCCACACAGGAGGGAAACGAGCCCCATCAGCTAAAGATCCAGAAGAAGGTCATGTTCGATGTCTCCAAGGCCAAGAGGAGTGTGGCCGAAGCGGTCCATTATGGCTTTCAAACGCACCTGGTGAACAGCAGCCCGATCACCCTTTGTGCGTGGCGTATCGTGTGCACCTTCGCGAGCGCGTTTCTGACACTTTTTTTGTGCCTCTCGTACGTTGCAGGACCGCGAAGCCGGGTTGGTGCCTGCTTGGGTCACCGAGCAAGTGTTGCAGGATGACTACTACTCTGAGGACATCCGCCATTTCACCATCTACGTTGTCAACCCCAAGAAGGTAAGCTCACACTGCTTCTGTTTCCCCCCCCCTACAACTTTCCTATCCATTGAGCGCTTCAATCCTGACTCGCGCACACTTGCGTGTCGTGGCTAGCCCATCGAGCAGTACGCCTACTCCCAGACCACGCGAGTGTCCGATGCCGTCTGCAAGACCACTGTCGGCGCAGCCAAGGCATGACCTCCTTTCCTCTCTCTCTCTCTCTCTCGACAATCCTCCTCTTTCTTCTGAAAAAGGCCGAACCTGACTCCTTTGGGTCCACACATCACAGGACCGCTTTGCGTGGGTGGACATCTCGGCCGGTCCTCTGGTCTACGGCCCGCAGACATGTATGTGTGAGCAGCAGTAGCTGCTCGCTCGCGCTCTCCACCGTCTCCACCACGCTCACTTGTCTTTGTCTGCGTTCCTCTTTTTGCAGCCGGCGAGGGACTCGTCACGGAGGCGGACATTCCGTCGCTCAAGCGCCACCCCCAGGTCCAAAAGTCCCCCGAGGCAAGTGCCCACCTTCGTTTCGTTTTTCGTTTTCGTTTTCGTTTCGTTTACTCATTAGATTGTGACAACGCGGCAGAGCTTCATGATCGACTTGACGTCGTTCGTTCAGAGGACCGTCGAGTTCCTCATCGCGCCTTCGCCCTATCGCCTCCCGGTAAGCAGCACCAAAACAAACCCCCCTATCTCACAGACCACGCACGCTGACCGGTTGAGATGTGGGCCGTTCCGTTTCGCGTAGGCCTGGGGGCTCAACAAGAACGTGGTGGTCCACCTCGTGCTCGTGCACGATCATCTCGTGGGCGAAGAGGAGCGATTCTCCTACTTTGACTACGACACCATCAAGAAGGAGGTACACACATCTGGCACACTGGCATGCACATCAAAGGCAACACTATAGTTGATAGCCGCCTTTTGCTCGGCCTGCAGCTGGGAGCGGTGGAAGTGTTCGGGAACCATTCGATCACGTTCAGGCAGTCGGAGTTCTCACTCGTCGACAACAACCTCCTCGCCTCCGTCTGGACCAACTCCATCAAGGTAGCGCGTTCACCAGACCCGCTCGCCTTCTAAACACACAGCTAAGCCCTCTCATCTCCTGTCGGCAGACACACACCAGCTCGGTTACCCGGGTAGCCGTGCAGGCATACGTGAATCAGGTAATGACTCTATACTGCACACGCACCACCGCACACGCACGCGCACGCGGCACTCGAGCGCTTCGGGTGGTGTGGCTGTTAAGTTGACACGTGGGCATGGTGGTACATATATGTAGTATCTGGACTCGAAGGAGCTGCACAGCCATCTCGGGCGCTATCGCAGGACCCTCCTCGGTACCCTCCGCGGTCACACGTATGACGCGTGCGCGCACATTGGGACTCACTGGTGAGTGCTGGCCAATTTCCAGGCGAAGACGATGCAGCCGAGTGGGTGGTGCCGGTCTTTCTCTTCGACGTCAGCAACACCGACCTCCTGCTCATTGATCGCACCCACCAGGTGAGGCCTCTCTCTTTGTTTACCGCTACTCGCCGCCGGTCACTGTCTGAAACCGACCCATGATGCGTTCACATTGTGTCCAGGCCGTGTCGTTCCCGGACATGGTAATCGCAGTGCAGACACCTCTCAGCCGGGTTGTCTTCGACTATCAGTACGCGACGACACGACACGACCAACGACACGACCAACCACACGACACACCGAAATTCTCATCGAATGAAAATTTCTCTTTCCTGCTTGGGCACGAAGGTGTTCGGGGCGCACGCTGGCGGTCGACCCCAAGGACGCCACCCGGCCGGTGATGGGCGCCCTGGTGAGCACCGTGTGGGGCGTCGCGCCCACGCACCAGGCCTGGGACCCGCTCCACAACCGTATCAAGGAGAACTACCTCTGGGCGGTACACACTGCCACCCTCGCTCGCTCGTTGTATTATTTATTTCTTTACGTTATCGGCTGACCTTTGCGTATGTCGTGGTGCAGGTGGGCGGTACGCCGTTCGGCCCGTTTTCGCCGTCGGTGCGGCTCACCTTCGCGCAGACCGACCCGGCACGACGCTTCCGACTCTACGGCTACATCGAACGCACCCTCCGCCGACTGACCTCCCTCTTCCGCACTTACGCCGTACAACGCCCCCCCCCCAGTGTTTTCTAGCACACACCACCAACGTGTGCCGCTCGGCCGCACACAACGCAACGCAACGCTCTCTTCTAACAAACGCATCTTGACATGTCGAGCAGGAGTACGACCTCGAGCTGGAGGACGGGCTCAGTCCGGAGGCCTACGAGCAGCTCATGCAGCGATGGAACCTTCTCCAGTTCAAGTTTGAGAAGGTGCCCGCTCTTTCGTTGTTGTCATTCGTC